ATCTTGGAGACAAAGGCAAAATTCTCTGGAGAAGGTGGGATGGGAAAGCTCAAGAGAACCCTGACCCAGGCTCTGCACACGGTTGCACATATTTATAGAATTCAATAAAACCCAAGGCAGACACCGAGATGGGTCTGGGCCCCCAGTGCCTGGGGGAGGCCTGGCATTCCTCTGGGGCAGTCATCAAGCCAGAGGGGGCAGGGTGGGGCCTGAGGGTGGTTTCCACCAGCTCCTGGGGTGTCTGCCCCAGCTCCCCATTCTGCCCCGGGGCCGAGAGAACAAAGCCTTCCCCCTCTCCCTCCACTTGATGAAAGGAGTCTTGTCCCGCACGCCAGGACCATGTGGAGGATGTGTCACAGGCCAGGGGCTCCGAGGGAACAGGGCATTAAATGGGGGCAGCAGAAGAGGACTGAAGATATACTGCGTTCAGGGATATTAAACCCAGCCTCGCCCCACTGCTGCCCAGCCAGACCTGAGGGGACAGCTGGGTGGCATAGCCCAGAGGCGCCACTAGGTGGCAGGAAAAGCCCAACAACTCACCCGGTTCCACCTGTTCCCACCACCCGCTGCCCCACCCCCCCAGCCTTATCCTCCAGCAACCTTACCCCCTTCCTCCCTCCAACCCACCCCTCGCTGCAGCCTCCGGTGACAGCCCTGAAGTCTTTTCATTTTTCCTTCCGCTTTAGAGAAGGCAAAAAGCTCTCAGTCCTTCTCTTCCAAATGCCACTAATAATGATAATAATTAGTGCCTGTGGCTATTTATTGAGTGCTGAAGAGGTACCAGGCATTTTACGTGCATTATCTCATTTACTCACTCATGAGGTAAGTAAAAATACTCTCCCTCTTTGCAAGAGGAGACAGACTAAGAAAGCATAAATAGACTGTCCAAGATCCCACGACTGCGAGTCGTGCAGCCGATGTTCAGATCAGGTCTACACATGCTGGGCGGGGACCTCCCTAAGCCTGTGAACGAGTGGGTGTCGGCATGGAGAGGGGGCGAAGCACCCGTCAGATGCATGTGAGGCTTTCCATCCACCCTTCTCACCAACACCCGCCCCCCCCCATACCCGACCCCTTGAGATTCTAGGAGGGTGTCTTAATCTCAGGGTAAGTGTGAAGTTTAAAAAGTTTGCCTGGGGTGCCTGGGTGGCTCAGTCAGTGAAGCATCTGACTCTTGGTTTCGGCTCAGGTCGTGATCTCAGGGTCATGAGATTGAGCCCTGAGTCCGGCTCCGTGCTCAGCGGGGAGTCTCCTTGGGACTCTCTCTCCCTCTCCTTCTGCCCCTCCTTCCTGCTCTCTCTCTCGCTCCCTCCCTCTAAAATGAATAAATAAATCTTTTTTTTTTTTTTTTTAAAGTTCGCCTGAGTGATTCGGGCTCACAAAACCTTGCTCTGAGAGCCACTGTGCCCTCCCCTGACGCCTCTTCTACGGACTGCACAAGGCATTCTGGGTTCTCTCTTTGCCCACACTGCTTGCCGCGTGAATCCCCACTCCAGCGTGGTTGCCCCCCGTTCGGCACCAAAGGTGATTCCAGCGCAGAGGACCTTCCCCCAGGGCCATCTCCACGTCTGGCCTGGCTGTCTTTGCCCACATCCAGGGGGCATCCGTCCGTGTGCTGGCACAGCCCCGGGTGGTGGGGGCGGGGGACAGAGCAGACGAGGAACAAGACACAGAACCCACTGTCCCCAAGCAATAAGAGTTCGTGTCTAAAGCTGGGCCTGTACTGCCTTCTACATACGGTGTCCATTCGGAGAAAGAGCCCGCTATCCAGAAGAAAAGGAGATGGATCCCTAGTGCCCTGTTCTTCACTGACACTGGGCATATGCGAGCGCGGCAGCTGCAGGGAAGGGGCGCGAGGAGGTGACACCCAGTGCAGAGGAACTTCTTGACATTCTCTTTGACTCCACTGGTCTCCCACACACGGTGGTTGCTGCCAGGCTGTCCTGTTCCGTTTCAAGCCTTCCACACTACCCCCAAGATCAGCTGTGACCTGCCACATTTATTTTTCCCTCCCACTAGAAAGCTAGCCAGCCTCTTCTATTCTCCACCTGTCTCATCACCCCTGGATCTGCAGAATAAAGGCCCAGAAACAAAACCAAGTTCTCAGAAGTGGGCGGGGAAAGCCAGGCCCTGACACCACACGGGATGAGACCAGAAGCCCAGGAGGTGAAGAAGGGCGCCTGAGCTGAGCTCTTGATTTTTCTTTTCTAAAGATTTTATTTGACACACAGAGAGAGAGAGAGCACAGGCAGCGGGGAGAGGGAGAAGCAGGCTCCCCGATGAGCAGAGAGCCCGATGTGGGGCTCGATCCCAGGACCCCGGGATTATGACCTGAGGTGCCCCCCGAGATGAGCTCTTTAAATGCAGACTTTCTGCTGGGGGAGAATTCAGCAGGGGGCGGTGGGTGGTTCAGTGCAACCTGGGGTCCCTGGACGAAGCCTGCTGACCCCACGTGGGGAGCGTCTCCCACCAGGGCAGCTCTGGCGCTCAGACACCTTTGGCGGCAGGAGGAAGCGGTCCACACCCCACCTTTGGGCTACCTTGAGTTGCAGTCCTGTCACATCGTTCACACTCTTACTTCAACCACCAAAACTCCAATCCCTTGAGAAATTCTGAAGAAGACTGACATTTAGTAGTTAAGAACCCCTACTTTACGCGATCGAGCTGTCCCGTGTGAAAGGTGAAAATCCAGGCTCAAGGCTGGCTGACTGGGAAAGCAAGCAGCACTCCCGGGAAGGGGGCAGATGTCGCCTTTCCTCAACCACCACCACCTTGGCGCGTGTACTCAACCGTGTCAGCCCCGGGGACAGGGAAAGAGCTGAGCGCGCAGGCTCCGTCCCTCCCAGACCAGAGTCAGGACGAGCAAGCAGGCAGACACATGAACAGATAGCAGAGGAAGGAGCACTGGTTTGGCCACAAGTGGCTGGTGACAGTTCCAGAGGTGGCCCCGGAGCAAACCCTGGAAGGCCGAGTTTCCAGGCGGGGAGAGTGACAGGAAAGGGTCCCCCGGCGTGAGGGAAGGTGGGAGTGGCAGGAGAAGGGATGCCGTCCTGGGGGGGGGGGGGGCACTGGGTGTGTCATGACCAGAGTGCAGCCTGTGTGGCAGGAGGAGAAACAGCCTTGATGCCAAGTTGAGGAGGGAAGAGTTTCTTCTCTAGGCGGAGCCATCGTTGATTTTCAACTAAGGAAGCGACTTGAGCACGTCTTTTCTGGGGAAGGAGTTTTTAGAAGGACCGGCGAGGGGAGACGGGACGCAGAAAGACCAGCTGGGAAGTTGCTGGAATTGCCCAGGTGAGAAAAGGGGAATGTCTAAATTAGGACATGGCAACGGAGACCAGATGAAGTCGCGGCTTCAACAGGGATCGGTGCATAGGATTAGCCTGGTCAAAATTCCTCTTGAAAAGGCTCTCGGAAGGGGCCCCGCTGGAGGCCGGCGGTAACTCAGCTAACGCCTCCCCAGAGCTGGAGCCAACCCCCGAGCCTTTGGCTGAGCGCCAGACGGAAAGGGTTGTTCTCCAGAACCCACGTGGCACCAGCAGGCACTCGGATCATGACGCACAAGATGCTCACACTACGCGAGGCGGGAGGGAACCCAGACAGCCCGAAAATTCCCTTTCCCCAGCTCACCCGCATCATCCCCGGGGACACACATGAGGGGGGACACACACGGAGGGGGGAGGGGATCTCCTGCGCCCACACCGCCTGCCACGCGCTCGCTCGCAACCGAACCCTGCGCAGCCAGGCACCACCGACAGGTGACGCGGGACAGCCTCGGTGACAGAATCGAAGTGCTGGCTGAAGAGAATGGCCAAGGAACACAGGGGGTGACGTAGGTGGTGTCAGGTGTTGGGGGTGAAGAGGATGGCAGGGGGCCATTCTGTTTATTTATTTGGGGCTTACTGTTACCAAAAGAATGCCTCTCCTCCTGTGGGCTTCATCACCCAAGTCAGAGGCTCCAGGACCTATCTTTCCTGACGAACCTAACAAATAAGTCATCACGACTGTGAACGATGCTGGTCTGAAATGATGAAAACCCGCGCCTCTACTTTGAAGACATGCGCACTAACACTCCTGACTGTCGGTGTGAGCGGAGTCCCTGTGACCGACAACTGCGTGTGCAAACGGCGGCCATCAGGGCATTGGAATTGCTCGTTCTGAGTCAAGCATTTTCCCTCGTCGTGTTGTTCAGCCTTCGTAGCCTGGCGCACCTTTCCTTCTAAAAGGGAAGAAAACTGCAGTCGGGAATTCACGGTCATAGAACGGCTATCAGAACTGCTAGACCGCCGCATCCTAACGCAGACCTGTGACTCGAGGATGAGCTGACTGGGGCGAGCGGGGTTTCCCAGACTCCCCCGGGCGGCCCTTCCAACCGGTCCTGTGAAAACGCAACTCCCCCGACCACACGGCATGCTTCCTGCTCTGAGGATGCGGAGAAATTGCAGGAAATTCCCCCCAATGTGCCAAAGTGGTTCAGTGGCCCCCTAAGTAGGGGACTTGGAGAGGGATTAGGTGGGAAAGTGAAGAGAGGAGTTTCCAGTGGCTCCGAGGACACACGGTCGTCAAGGAGAGAAAGAGTCTGTTCCTTTTCTCTCCAAAGAGCACCGCTCAAGAGGGACTGGGCCGGCAAGGCAGGAGGGATGCAGGTTAAACTTATGAGAAACCTCGCCTGCCAGCAGGGGGAAACATGGGGACTGACCGCTGTGGGGACACGCGCACCCTCCCTAGCCACAGCCCAACGCCACCGCTCACCCACCCAAAGGCCACGGGGGCACTGGAATTCTCCTGCACTTGCCGGGGAAGGAGAAAGCAGCGCTGAGCAATGGCCATTGGCCTGGGGAACTTTGCAACATCTCTAATTCTGACAAGACCAGTCCTGGATGCGTCTCGCTTGGCTCCCATCACGGAGATGCCCCAGTCTGACCCTACGGGGCTGGTGGTGGTGCGAGGAGTCACAGGAGATGGGAGAAGGATTGACAGACACGAACCCAAACCACATGAAGTAATTTCTAAACATTTTTATTTCAAATCTCTTTTCACCCCTCCCCAAAAAGACATGAGTCAGTACAGCAATCATAAAAAGGAGATACAAACACAAGAGTCAAATGTCTCCCGCACTGACACTTACAAAAAACTGGGAGTTGTACGTGGGGTTTCCAAACAGGACCTGCAGCAGCTACTAATGTCCCTTTATAAGAGTCACACATGCCTATTAATACAGTATATACAAACACCCGGTTCTGGAACTAATCTACAGGGACATCCCAACACCCACCCATCTATCCCCAGAAAAATACCAAAACACACCCAAAGTGCATTTGTTTTGTTTATATCAAAACATCTTTCCCTTCTCCCACCCCACCCGCAGACCCTCCCACCCCATTTAAGATTGGCCTGCAAGTCTATTTTAACCATTTAGTCCTTTTTTATAGTTTATGAAAATAAATTATACAGCAACTATTTTAATAAATTAAGCACAAAAAGGGGGAGGAGAGGAGGAAAACTAAACGGGAAGACAAAAGCCAGGCCACGCTTTGGCTTGGAGGAGGGCGGGGGGAGGGGCGGCACACGAGGACAGAAGTGGTTGCAGGGTGCGGCTCCCCTTCTGGTGAAGGGCTGGCAGCCACCCTGAGCCCGGAAGGACACCCCTCTTCGTGGAGTTTCTTACCAACAACCAAACGAATGTACAGCAGCGGCTGCGCCACAGGCAGCATCAGTTCGGGCACCCGACGGCTGGCCTACCCACCGAGCGGCGCCTGGGTCGTGCCTGTCCCTCGGAAAAGGCTCTGGGCCCAACGGTGAGGGCAAGCCCCCGTTCAGGGGAGCACCAGGGAGGGAGGAGCCAGACCAGCCGCCCGCCCCACCTGAGCTGGGCGGAGCAGCGTGTGATGTCCTGGGTTCCGATCAAGAGCGTCCTCCGTTTTCTTCACACTCTCTCTCCAGGAGCAAAGATTGCAGTCCAGCTGCAACCAGACACTCATGTCCTCCCTGCTCTTGACCTGCTCCTTCGTGCCTCTTGGCACTTCGGAGGGAGGAGCGGGGGCGGGGAGCAGTTCCAGGTACCCTCTAACCAAGATGAGATGAGCGTGAAGGCAAGTCACAGACTCAGCATGCAGGACTGGCTTCCCAGAGGTAGATGGGAGTGGGAAGGGACGGGAGAAGAGGCACAGAGGACAGGACGGGAAGCAGGACGAAACTGGGCCGGCACCTACCAGGAAGGTCAAGAAGCGATGAAAAGGACAACAACAGTATGGAATTTGTATGTAAAGAAAGGTCTTTCCCTGGCAGATTAGAGAATCAGTATTTTAAATACAATTCCTTACTCTCTCTCTAACTGCAGCACCTGAGTCCCAGTGCCTCCGTCTCTACACGGTTCAAACCCCACCTCACGCCTCCCGAGGCTTTGCTCTCCATCTTCTCAAGGCCTCCTGTCCTTTTGTGCTGAGCACGAAGGCTCCGACGTCAAAACGGGATAGGTCACGGGGACTGGCAGACTCAACTTTGCCGTCTGGAGCTTTGAGGCCCACTAACCCTACAGCTATCATGGGGGGAGGGAGCCACACTTTGCTTTCTCTTTTTTTTTTTTTCTTTTTCTTTTTTAATAAAAAAGATTTTACTCCCCAGGAGCAAATAAATCACTTTGAACTACTGATAAACACTGTTGCAGTGAAAAGGAAAGACGGCTACGTGTATGCAACAGCATGAGTTGGTGTAAGAACAGCTGTGCCGACAATTAGAGATAAAAATCCCTTATCCCCCCCCCCCGACCCGAAACCAAACCAAGAGGATTCCCATAGGGAAAATGTCTAACTCAAAAGCTCCTCCCTTAGGGACAGGGGGCATGTCATTCTCTTAAATGTGGAAAACAAATGGCAGGTCTCCCCACAATGGAGATGCTTTCAACACCCCAAGTGGGGGCAAGACCTCTGCAAATGAAGACATGCGTGCGGACACACACACACACGCGCGCACACACACACGCTGACTTTCAGATCTCCCTTCCACAGCCACAGAGCTATATCCCAGTGCCTTGCCCTCCGTTTTCAGGGCTCAGAGCCAAGGGAGAGGCCGCGGGGCAGGGAAGGGTCTAACCTAAGGGAGAAGTCCCACCTATCCCCGTCTCCTGCTGGGACCCAAAGGCTTCAAGCAGCCTTGTTCTTTTGGGGGCCTAGGGTGAGGGCCAAAAAGGTGGGCACCCCAGGGCATCCAGCTCTACTCTAGGCTCTCATACCCGGACGTGCGAGCGCTCAACACCCTCCCGGCTCCCCACCTCTTCCTGGATGTACACTGGAGGGGGGTTTGCAGCCATCTCCACAGCATTCCCAGCCTCAGGGAGGGCCGACCCCGTCAGCCCCTGGGAAAGGAAGGAGAGGAGCAGAAACCGTGACGGTGAGCTCCCCACCGAGCCTCTCCTCTCAGAAGCCGGCGTGCTGCAGTCCGCAGCTCACACTCACTACATCTAGGCACAGGCTGGCCACCGGGCCAAGGCCACCGCCGACGGCCCCAAAGTCCCAGCTGCCGCCCCCTTACCCAGTCCTCACAGCAAGGCCCCAGCCCTTACTCTGCGCTCCTGCCACAGCCGCGGATTTCAAGTAACAGCCCATTGTAGCAGCAGTTGCCACCTAGCTCACAGCGGTTCACACCTGTCCTGAGGAAGGTTACAGCAGATCAGTCACCAACAAGTAAGGGTCACAGGAAAGAACCCATTACCAACTCTGAAATCAATGATGGGTCCCGGGAGGTGAGAACCCTTTCCAGTTTGTGACTTTAAAATACAACAACCGAAAAGGAATGAGTTCCCTCTGTGGACCGCATCTCGATTAGCACGACACAGAACTGGCAAAGGAGGAGTGGGCCCGGCCTGGAGAGCGGCCAGCCGCCCCGTCCCCTCTCTACTCTCTGACCAGGCGGGCCCCTCAGCCAGCTGCCCCACTCCCGCCTCTTCCTCCCCCCTCACCCCCCGACCGAGCCGGTCTCTCCCTGCGCAACTCTGTCTCACAGCCCACTCTACTGAGGAAGGGCTAGGCGACAACCTGGGCCATGACTAGCACACACAGACAGATCATGGACACAGGTGCACACCACCCTTTCCCAGGAGGAGAAAGAAGGATGGTGGTGAGGTTGGGTCATGCCTCCTCAGCTGGTCTGGTTCTGGACCTGACCGCAGGAATTCTCCAGTGGAAACCTCTGGTACCACAAGGGGTACAAGGGCTCTGCCTTCCTCCCTGCCGGACTGCGCTGAGAGCAGTGAGGTCCCTGGCCATGGACAGGAACTAGGTGACTTCTGGCTCTGGGGTCCACTTCACCATCATAAGCCCTCAATGCTGAGACTTGCCTGATGACCAGGAAGTTTCCATCTAAACCGCAGGCACTGGGAAAGGAGTGACTGATGCTGCCACTCTAACCTGGGGCTGTGTCCTGGTCAGTACACGCTGCAGATTTCTGCTTCCATGCTTTTGTTCATGTGTTTCTTGTCTCACTGTCTTACCCTCACCTAGGACCCAAAGCCTCACCGCCACAGAGCTCTCCCAGACCATCTGGTCTACCCTGATCTTACCCACCTGAATTTCTTTAAAGACAGACCTTGGTTCTTGCTGCCACACAGAGTCATTCTCCAACTGCTGCACATGCAGCAGTCACTTAAAAGCTCCCTCAGGCCAGACATCATGTCTTCCCCCTCTTGTGTTTCCCACAGTATCTAGCCCAGAGCCAGGCAAACACACTAAAACACACTATAAAAAAGAATTTTAAAATTACGGGTGGCTGAAATGGTGTAAAAGAAAAAAGGCCCAAAAAACCCAAATAGCTGCACATCAGCCACTCAAGGATCCCAATGGATGGCAGACTGCAGGCTCTAGAGCTGGGTGGCACTTTCTGCAAGATGGCAAGTTAATCTGCACCCTCAAGAGGCAAGACTCACAGGTTAAGCCAATTTCTGGGATCACTATCTTCATTGGTTGGTAACACTCCATGGGATCCAAGGAGAAAAGAGGTACCTCGTGACAAATCAGAGGTGGGCTGTGTTTATGTCACAAAGCTCATTTTGTGGACCCCCTCTTTCCAGGCAGATAACAATGCAAGTCTCCTTCCTATTCCACTACAAGGAGGAAGACTGGTCATTCCATGCAAGACATAAGGCAGAAGGCCAATGCTTCCAGATGAGGCAGTCCTATAAATTACCAGGACACTGGGGCCTCACCCCAAACCATCAGGAAACCACAAACCTGATGATATTATTTATCTCATGAGATGAGGCAGACAGAAGCACAGGGGAACCAAAAGAGGCAGTCTAATGGAACATTTACTACAAAAGAGCAATAAAGACCCAAACAGCTCAATTTTCATATCTTAATAGCAAACCTCTCCCCAGAGTAACTCTATAGAAAAGCAAACTCATAATATCATATGACTTGACAACGGCCCACTTCAGAAAAACTCAAGGACCACTGAAACACACTGGAGTTTCTCCCCCTCCTCTTCCACTTCCGCCTGGAAGGTGGGCAACTCCCAAATCAGCATCAGACAGACTTCCCAATGAAAGGGGGGCAAACAGGATCTGACTCAGGAAAATGTTTGGGTTGCTAGAAAAAACACAGTTAAATTAAAAAGCCCTTGCTACCTCCCGTCCCAGAAGTGGGATAACAGGGATAAACCTAAAAACACGAGATGCAATGCTCTCCTCCTCTCTGATCCAAAGACACTCCATTAAGGCTGAGACATTGGAGAGCTTCTTCTCGGAAGAGCGCTACCACGATAGCTTCGTTTCTCACCATCCTCCATATTCCCTCTCACTAGCTGGCAGACATATGGAGGTAAGTAACACTGACTCCTAAGTCATGGGTACAGTTTGCCATTAAGAATCTGGAAGCATGCTCCATTAACTTTAGCAGCTCATGATTAGGGCTCTCAACTGCTCAGGTGATGAGAAAACCGACTGCCTTGACAGCTGGCAGAAGCAACAGGAACGATGTTACCATGATCAGAGTGAAATGTACAGTTATCTCGGGGGAGGGGTGGAGGGTGGAGGAAGAACGGGACGGACTTGAGGTCACAGAACTCAGGAATTCAGTACGACAAAACTAACACAGCTTCTATGAGAGGTGATTCTGAAACCAGGTTCCTAAACCTTCAAAGGAAAGGATGTGAGGAGTCACTACTTTCCCCGGCAGAGGCCCTTTGCCAGTTTTTGTTCAGCAATCTTCTATTCGAGACTACCCACCCTTTCTTTCTCGCTCCGACTGAAGCTGCCCAAGCTTAAAGAGATGAGGATCCTCATCCCTCAGAGACTCCCAGCTCAATTTGCACTTCTGACTCCTTCTCTTCCCTTCTTTGAGGTCAATGGTGAACACTCGCACTCTGCCTTTGGCACCAGCTGAACGACCGTCACTGGCAATCCCCTCCCTCCCGTCCCCCCGTTTGGACCTGGCTCACCCTTGGCACCACTTCCAGTCCAATGGGCACGAACCCCAGCTGCCTTTAAAGGAAGTTTTCCATACCGAGAAATGCAAATATCCAAAACAAAACTTCTAAAACAGGAACAGTGTTGAGACTTCTTCCAGTTTTCCAAGGAGCTCGTCCAGTTCCAGGACACCGCGGGGGCTGGATGTGAAGAGGTGGAGCCCCCGCGCAGAGAGTGTGGTTGTGTGCTTCTTCCAAGCCCCAGGGCTGCAAGGGGGACCAAAGTCTTTGCACGGAAGAACTCAGCCCTTCCAATTCCCTCGTTTCTCCTCACTCCCCCTTCCACAGTAGCTTCATTTGGTTCTTCAGAACTGGAGCTTGGCAACCAAATGCCTAGGTGAAAAAGGAAAAATATGAGAGCGGCTCAATGGAATGGAGCCAAATGGAGAAGAGCTCAGCTTCTGGAGGTGGAAAAGTACAGCTCAAAAGGAGAGCTGGAATCTGGATAGCCAAAGACTTCCACAAACACTGGTGCTGGCTCAGGATGTAGCAACAGCATTTGCTGGGGGACCTGAGCAGCCCAGGACTTGGACACCAAAAAAAGGTCCTAAAATAACTGACAAATATATTGTATCATATCACCTTACTTCTCTTTCCCTTTCCCTTACCCCTTAATTTTCCACTCACTTTTCTCCCCACTTCTTTCCCGAGGCTCACCTGCTCCAGAGACTAAAAAAGAAAGAAAAAAGAGGCGCCTAGGTGGCTCAGTCGGCTGAGCGTCTCACTTTTATTTTTTTAAGATTTTATTTTATTTATTTATTTATTTATCTATTTAAGAGAGAGCAAGAATGAGAGAGAAAGAGAGAGCACGAGCAAGGTGAGGGGCGGGGGGAAGCAGGCACTCCACTGAGCAGGGAGCCCGATGTGGGGCTCAATCCCGGGACTCCAGGATCATGACCCGAGCCGAAGGCAGACACCCAATCAACTGAGCCACCCAGGCACCCTGAGTGTCTGACTTGATTTCAGCTCTGGTTACGGTCTGAGGGTCATGAGATCGAGCTGAGCACAGAGTCTGCTTGAGATTCTCTCTCTCTCTTCCTCTCCCTGCTCACTCTCACTCTCTCTAATAAAATCTTTTTTTTTTAAGATTTTATTTATTTATTTGTTTGAGAGAGAGGGAGGGTGGGGGGTAGAAGGAAAGAGAGAAGCAGACTCCCCACTGAGCAGGGAGCCCGACGTGGGATGCGGCCCTAAGGTCTAAATCAAGAGTGAGGACAGCATGATGCTTATTCTTTGCCATAGACAACAATCCTGGTGTCACACACAGCAAAGAGACCCTGGGAGTTTAGTTCAATCCTTTGCCCCCCATACTCATGACAAATGGATATCCCTGGCCTATACCTCATCAGATCAAGTCCCTTCCCATCTCAGGGCCTTTATGCTTACTGGACCCCTTGCCCAGAATGCTCTGCTCCCAGATCCTCTCATGGGTGACTCCTTGATAATTCAGATCTCAGCTGAAATGACATCTCCTCACAGAGACCTTCCCTGATCATCCAAACTTGAGTAGCACTATCCCACCACTAGTCATTAAACTTCACCAGGTTTTATTCCTCATAACATGTATGGTCAACTGAAATTAGCCTATTCACTTCTTTACATGTTTGCTGTCCATCTCTCCTTATGAGAACTGCAGCTCAGCGAGGTCAGGGCCATAGATCACCTCGCTCAGCACACTCTTCCCAATCCACACTGGGTACTTAACAAATAGGCAGAGCTGCTGAAGGCAAAGCCAAATGGGGAGCTCCCTAAGACCTGTGGAAAACCACTATGCTTTTGGACCTCTCTGTTAAAACAGTTCTTCTGAAGTGGGACTGAAGTCGAACTCCTCATACCTTACATTGATCGTGGCCCTTGTCCTGCCCCTGGCGCCACAGAGAATAAGTTTAACCACTCCTCCTTCGCATTACTTTCAGGTAGCAAGCCCCTCTCACCCCGAAACTTCTCTGCTCCGTGTTAGTCATTTATTCCCCATATGCTGAAGCTGGGAGCCCCCCACCATACTGAGCCCACCTTTGAATGTACTGTTTGGGAGGGTTCCTCCTAAGCACCCACAGAGGTGGTGCTCTAACTAACGGGTCCTAATTACTCCACAACGGTGTGTTTGCGTAGGCGCGCCTCCCTGGTTCCCTCCTACCTAATTCCCATCCTAATTTCAGCTGCAAAGCCACCAAGCAGAGAAATCCTCCTAGACATCAGAACATTTGGATGTTTTAGGTGTCGCTTCCAAGGTATACAACTTGCATGTCCTTGAAGATATGACAAGAGATTGTACACCCAGTCCAGGATGCTTTAAGTTAAAGCTCTGTAGCCTCCCAGAGTTATGATTTCTTGATCTCTCTTCTTTCATTCCTTCTCCCCTTGTTAATCCTTATTAGCCCAGCTCACGTACTTTCCCTCAAGCATAGGATCAGGGACTTTCAGAGCTCAGAAGGGAGGCACCCAGCTGGGTTCACCTTAGCCATGGCCCAGGAAAACCCGTGGGGCATAAACGCCAGTCATCACACTCTCCAGTTATGAAGAGAGCAGAGAGTGTGGAGAGATGAAGACTCCCTTCATTCTCAGACTGTCACTCTGTGGGTTTTTTTCCCTTAGTTTGTATCATGTGGGAGATAGCACTGGGGAACAGAGAAGGTTGGAGGAGAAGCAGACATATTCAGTGCTTCAGGAGGGCAGTCCACACAAAGAGGAGAGATAGGGGGTCACCACACCTGGCAGGTCACGAGAATGTTACATGTGATCATACATATAACCCACACTACCAAAATTACAACTCTCTGGCAATTCTGTTCCCTACTCACCTCTATCTTTCAATGCCTACATGAAGGCAGTTTAAAAGACCAATTAGAATCAATCTGCACAAACCAGTATTCCAAGATATTTTATGGGGAAAATAAATGAGTAGAATTCAGTTAATGTAGTGATGGGAGAAGAGCCTCTTAGATAAATGAATTCCTTAGCTAATTCACTTATTCTTTTCAATAATTTACTCTTCAGTGGTCCAGATGGAACTCTAACTAGAAGAGTGAGCTTGTTTTCCTCACCCCCACATTCCACGCCACTGGCCTTGGAAGTTCTCACTCAAGTGCACAGCCTGTTGCAAATGAAAGGGGGCCTGCACTCCCTTTGATGACCTTTTCCTTGTCTGTGGTTTCCTGTTTTACATGTCATTTGTGCAACAGCAGGGAGAGGGGCCAGAGTATGAGAGAAGGCCCCACACTTAGCTACGCTTGTGTGTTCTCCTCATTTATATTCGGTGCTTAGCTTGCATGTTGCTTGGCAAATACTTTTTAAGCCCCTCCTGTCTGTCTGCTCTTCTCCCATTTGGTGTATGTGCCCCCTTGGGGACTCCGTTATCAGATTTGGTGACTCTCTGGGCAGACGCCTGGATCCGGAGTATACACATGGGGTGTGGGGGAGGGGGGTGAGGCCCAGCACATGACGGTAACTGTCCGGGAAGAGACTTGGCTGGACGGTAAGGCAGAGAGCTCATACCCTTGGTGGCGATCAGCAGGGGGCCCCTCGCTACGTGGAGGGTTCGACCTCTTGCTTCTGTTTGGAAATGAGCTGCGCTTCCTTTAGAGACAGGTACACCTCTTCCTGAGGATCATAGTAGTAGAACTTTCGGATATAAGAGATCAGAGGTCTGTGAAAAACACAAGAGGGATACACATAAAGTGTTATTTACAAAGACCATAAACAAAAGACCACCTTTGTTCAAGCCTTCCTTCTTCTTCAACCCTTATATGGCTGTGACTACACAAAAAAACTTGGCTGACCTAAGAAACTTGCCACGTTCTCACTTGTTATAACTCCGTCTCCCTCCCTCTTACTACCTCCATTCCACTCTTCGTAGAGACTGCAGAAGGGAGGCTCACACACACACACACACACACACACACACACACACACACACCTTCCTCTCTTCTAGCTGCCATGTGACACTTCTAGAGTTAGGTGCTAAGACACGTGAGAAGTGAAAGGAGGATGCCTGTGAAGAGCGCCAGGCTCTGTCTGTGCTATCAGCTGGCGGGCCTCACTCACATTTCTAACTAAGCCTCCATTCCTGCCCCGACCCAAAAGACCCCATTGTACTTAGGCAGTGGGAGATCCGGGATGTGATCTATCCGGACGAGCTGTCGGATTCGGAATCTGCAAAGGTGCTGGAGGGATTTGACATTGCTGAATCTAGACACTGGATAGAGCAGCTGGACTGGAGTCGGTGGCAGTCCTTCAAGAATGAAAACCAAGGACATATTCAGAAGGAACAATGCAGCTAACTACAATTCCCCTTATGAAGCGAATCCAGGGAAGGGAAATAGGGCTTCTTTATAGTTCACATGTGCATTCTGTGCAAAAGCTCCTTTCCACAAAGAACTGCTGATTTCCATTTGCAGAAGCATTACCACTGTATTTCATCAAGAGACTCGATTCTCCTCCGCCAAGAGCCTCCCTAGCACTACTCTTCACAGCTGAGAGTCTCGCTCTTCAGAATAGCCCAATGAAACCACCAAGCTAGAGACTTTACTTGGAGCCACGTGGCCAATCCCAGGCCTGAGGCTCTCCGTGAAAAGCAGGAATCAAAGCACCCCCGCTAGGAATGGGGGATACTGTGAGAGCACATCTAGCATCATCCTGAAGGGGAGAACTCAGAAAGGCTGCTTAGAGGAGTCCCCAGCCAATTCCAACTAAGAGGCTGGTAAGCAGAAGGCAACGGCTGGGATCAAGGCTACAAGCCTATCACTCCTGCCATTTACTTCAAGCCAGGACCAGCGGGTTTAAGCACCTCTTATTTCCCCCCCACAACCCCTCCCCCCCGGCCGCTTTGCCGCCTACAACCCCTCCTTGCTCCTGAAGTTTTAGGCTGGGTCCAGGAACAGAAAAAAAGATGATGCCTTTAAAAGGAAAGCAACGGTCCCGCATCGGGCTCCCTGCTCCTTGGGAGCCTGCTTCTCCCTCTGCCTTTCTCTCTCACTCTGTCTGTCATGAATAAAAGGAAAAAAAAAAAAAATCTTTAAAAAAAAAAAGGAAAGCAACGACAGTAGCTTGAGGAAGCTGGAATTAGTACCACTCAGTGCCAAAGTGCCTTCTGACTGACGCCAACCAGGCCCAATGGGAGCCCCACACCCTGCTTTCATCAGCATCAGCGGGCTTGGTGCTGGGAAATTCCAGCCCCCCCACCCGCCCGGGGTCAGTGCCACAGAACAGAAACATCCACAATGGCAGGGACACTGAAACTGGTCCAAGGGAACAAAGAATATTCTGGTTTCAATAAACAAAGGGGCTACAGCAGGTAAGTAAGCAAACTGCTCTCAGAAAGAATCTGAGCTACAAAATCTTTGAAAGAACTCTTTTCTCAGTTGCTGTCCTATCAAAAGAAATTCTGTAGGCACAACTTATCGGTCTACTACTGTTTTAGGTATCTACTGTTTCAGGAGTTTAATTTCAAACATTTTTAAGTTTTGTTTGAAGGCGTGAGAAGAAAAAATTAAAGCTTGCAGATTGTCTCCCAGAGCCTTTGCATGGTCATTGATAACAGACTTTCTAAAAAAGAAAAAAGTCAACATACACATACTGTTACTAAGCAAGTAGGCTTGACTTAAAAACATTTAACTTATTTAGTCTTCAAAACTATACTTTGAGGTAGGTATCACAATTATCCCCACTTTACATATGAAGAAACTGAGGTCTACTGGGGTCTCAGAGAACTTGCTCGCAGTACAGAACCAACAAAGCCAGCCTGCCATGAGCACCGGTCTGTCTGAGGAAGAGCTGAGCCCACAGAACTTCAAAGGAGGGTTCTTCAGGCGTCTCCCCAGAGCACCTGCCCCTCTGCTGTCTGCTGAGGGCGCTATCCAGGAAAGCCCCAGCACTTTGATTCATGACTGGCCTCTCTCAGTCCTCTCCTTGCTCCTATCCCTTCAATCCTCGGGCTTATCCTTGGAAGCACAGTAGTCCTCCTCCACCCACATGACTGGTCCTCTCCACTCATACACTATTAAAAAAAAAAAAAAAAATCACACATGAATTTCTCTCTTGAATGTATTTAAACTCAAGTGGTTTTAAAATGGTACTGGGTTCAAAGGCCTCTTTGAATTTACCCTCTCTCTCATATGTTTAAAAAATATTCTTTAGTAAATTAAACTATGGCAAACAGAAAGCTTTTGGGGGTGGGTTGTAATAACGCTAAGTTCAACATGATGTTTCAGAGATAAAGGTAATTTATGTATCTAATTATTTATTCCCAAAGACACAGTACTATCGGACTTGTGCTTAAAGAGATCAGGATAATAAGCAGCATAAAATTATCTGACAGTTTGCCTACTTGAATTTTAATGACCATATATACTTGCCTATTTAATTGTGTTACTTTTAGCCTTAGGCTTACAAACAGCAATTTGAAACCTGTTAATTCTCTGATATTTCCTGCTATCAACCTGAACATTTACTGTTTGCCCCCAAACACAGCAAACAACTGGAGCTCTCACATCCAGAGCATGTTAACAGAAGAGGTTAGAAATGGAAATAAATCTGAAATAAGACACCAGGTCAGCAGAAAAGGAAAGGGCGAGGTGGACAGTGATGATCAGGAACCTTCTTCTGGTCCTTCATACCACGGGTCCTGGACACCAATCCAGTTTCCAGCCACTTCACTGTTTTTTCTCCCCCCAACAAGGATCAGGTTAGGGGTGACACATATCTTCCAAGTCTGAGCACCCCCACACATAGGTCTTTCTGCCAAACCAAACTGTTCCCTGAAGACCAGAATTTTCCAGGCCAAAATGTCAATAGTGCAGAATTAAGAAATCCTGGGATACAGAGAAGACCTGTCACTGAACAAAACAAATAATTATAAGATTAATGATGGTTATAAAAGAGAGACCAATTTCCTTAGAGTTGTGCAATTCAAAGTACAATTAAAAAACAAAAGGTATTGGAGGCGCCTGGCTGGCTCAGTTGGTAGAGCACGCAACTCTTAATCTCAGGGTTGTGAGTTCAAGCCCTGTGTTGGGTGTAGAGATTACTCAAAAATAAAATCTTTAAAAAAAGTATTTTCTCTTCATGCACTTCACAGATGATGAAGATCCTCCCAACTAAGAAGGATATGCTCACTTTGAGTTTTGGCTCGAACAGCATCAAGGGTTCTGTGCTAATCCCATCATACTCTCTTTTTGAGACTGCTGCCTGGTGGTGTTAGGCATTTAGTTTACAACTGTGGAATGGACCAGACTGAGATGCAAACAGTGACCTCGGATTTGTTACGACTATACTCCACTACTAAAAAGAGATAAGGGGGAAACTAAGATCAGGTGCCATCATTTTTATTTTTACTAAGGGTCCCTCCTTTGATGCCAATTACTCCATTTATTCTAACTCATGGCCTTCCTTCTGCTTCTTACTTGCCACCATCCAGAACTTTTCCATTAGTCCTAGCTTTATGATTCCTATGATCCCTAGCATCCCTTTAACACCAGTCTGCATGCCCTGTTAGTGCAGTCAGCTCTAGTATTGAGCTGGAAAGAAAACCTGACTTTGAATCCTGGCTCTACAACCCATTGTACTTTAGTTGGGGTGTGTGTGTGTGTGTGTGTGTGTGTGTGTGTGTGTGTGTGTTAAGCAGGCTCTATGCTGGCCTCCAATGTGGGACTCGAACTCGCAACCCTGAAATCAAGACCTGAGCTGAGATCAAGAGTAGGACATTTAACCGACTGAGCCACCCCGGCGCCCCACTGTACCTCAGTTTCTTAATCTGTATCAAAAAAAGGAAGAACGAAAGAAAAGAAAGAAGAGAGACTGTAGTATCCCTTTAAAGGATTCTGTAAGGGCTAAATCAAATAATACCTGGTCCCTTGTAGGCGTTTGGTTATCATCCCAAAGTCACAACAAACAGGCTCCTTTTAGAATCTACTGAGTTAAAATCCCTGGTGCAGGTTGAGAAAGCTCAACTCAAATGCTAATCCCTACCTCCTCTCCACACCAAGTCCCTCACAGAATCAACCTCACAGAATGCCTAGACTTTTATGACAAGCAAAGGAGGACAGCAAACAACGGTAAAGGAGAACACTGACTTTGCCTTTTGTCCCAGTCCTTCAAAGAGAGGTCACACAGGGTCTAGGAGCAAATACTAACTCTGCTTTGCCTTCTCAGTTTGATTACAATTTTAAGTGCAAGTAGATACCCTCTCTGTAGCATTCCTCATAGGTCCTAAAAAGACACCCTCCACTAATAAACACACTTCTGACTTCCTTATGCAGTCTCCACAAGTCTCAGCAAACTCAGGTTTCAATTTGCTTGCTGTTATCTTTTCCCCAGTAACAGACTGGTAGCAAATAAAGCACAGGATTTGGAGTCAGCTGAGCCTGGGTTTGAACTCTGACTTCAGCACTGATCAGCTAAGTGACTTCACATTTGAGCCTCAGCCTCAGTTTCTTCACTGTCAAATGAAAATGGTCTTATCTATAAATAGACCAATCTATTAGCTAACTTTGGGTTGTTGTAAGAAATGAGAGCTGTTCAAATAAAGAACCTGACAAAGTAATTGGCACAGGATACACAGTCAATAAACAGTAGCAACTGTTACAAGTTCTAACCCTTACCAATGTTAAGAATCTTAGTTAAAATTTCTGCAGACAGGGCACATTTGTAGAATGAAATGAGCTTATAGCAGAGTCCAAGTCTCTCAAATACTCTACAAGTAGATAGATATATGCTCCAGACTCCAGAATCCTCTGAGAGGATTTCCCTGGTTCACCCATAAAAAGAGCTGCTTCCCCTGCCCTTGTCAATCACCCACCGCTGACTGCCATGCCTTGTACTGAGTTCTACATGTGCTCTTGCCTTTATCTTCCTACCTGTCCTCTCTCTGAGGCTATGAGGGTAGAAATATGGCTTATTTTTGATACTGAGTTACAGAATAAATGTCTGTTAAATAAATAACCTCCAAAAGCCACAAACTTTAAAAATTACTAAAGAGTCAATTCCTATAAGAAAGGATTCTAACTTTTCCCTTTAACCAAGTCAACTGCATGAGACCCAACTGTGTTGACAGCGCTGAGGCAAATACGAAATGAAGTGAGAATTAATACAGTTCTCACCCTGTCATGCCTTATTTAAATCACCAAGATTATAAAACGCATTCCTGTAACCTGGCTCAATCCTGTTACTGATGTTCTGCCTGGGGCTCCCCTGGAACTTCTTTTTAAAGCAATTTCTTGGCACACAGTTTGTCTAAGAATCTCAATTTGATTCACTGGGAACGGATGAAGTTCTCATTTTAAGTTCTGTTTGTATCTTACAAATTCCTCAATTAATATGCTTGTCATTTTGCCTTTCCCCAACCCTATAAAAGCAGACAGACTCCTCCAAACCATCCCGTCTCTCCCTTCGGGAGAGATTAGATAGGTAGCTCCCTACTTCGTGGGCAGAAAGACTATATAACCACGCCAGCAAGGATGGGAACGGAACTTCCCAATGCTCCCAAATGGAGAGATGTCTTTATATTTAATGCTAGTAGAGATATACAACAAGAACTATCTACTCTTTAATAGCAAGTTTAGTACGAATGGACAAAATCCACAGCAGACTGTCATTGAATTCAGCCTCCTTGACACTCACCGTGGCCTTTCTAGTGAATACTCTTTTACCTTCCCTGTTCCCGTAGAAATGGCCTGAGCGAGTTCTCACCTCTCTGCTTCACATGGAAGCGTGAGATGCCTGGATCAGGGACAAGGAGACGCCTCTGAATGTTAAATATTCACATGACGCCTGGGCAGCAGAGGTGGGATCCATTTTCTCATTCGTGTGTTCAGAAAAGCAAAGATTCCTTCTCAGTATGTTGAAGGATTAATGTACAAGAGCAGGAGATTAACCACTGGACTCCAGGAAGAGCCAGGAAAAAGGACTTCAAGTAAGTGTGGCTTTTTCTGGGAGGCAGAGGGACACATTTTGATACTATAATGCATCATACCCAAGTAATTTATATAATTAATGTAACTCTAGCCTTACCTGGAACCCTGGATCTCAAGAAATAGAGGAACTTCCCATTCTTGGAGTGCATGATGGCTCTCTTAATGAACTCCACCACTGACTGACAGCGATCCTCAAACTTGGGGTGACACCACAGGCTGAAAGTTCCTGCCATGGTAAATTAGGGAGAGGTAAAGATGTAAAAACTTACTTTTAAAACATCTGGGAAGCTCACTTAAACATTGAAACGATTCGCAATTCTGGGAGGGTCGTTTGTGGGCAAGCTGTCAGACAGAGGTCCCTGAAGACGCCTGGTCCTGTTTGCCCCACAATGAATGGAAAGGAAGAAATCACCTTTAATAAGACATTAGTATGAACCCTAATCCTTAAATCACAGACCATAAAAAAAAGACTGCCACAGCAAAAGCCAGTTGAAATGCCATCCCCTCAAGAAACTCTGTGTTCAAGCATTCATGGAATAGTCGAGGCAAGAAAGGAAGAGTGGTTTTGCAAGTCTCACTCATTCATGTGTTATGCACAAAACATCAAATTCTAAGTCTTTTCTTCTTTAACTTCTAAATTCACACCCCCCACAGTATGTTGCAAAGATCCCACCCCAAAATTTTAGAGTCCCAAAAGCAAAAGGGAAACTGAACTCCCGTGACTAAAAACAAACCAAAAACTCAAGCACTAAATGCAAAGGAATCACCCACAAAAGGGACGGAATCCAAGAGAACTACAGATTTGAGTCTCCCTAGCTACTCTTACAGTATCACTTAAAAAGAGGAAGACAAATGCTCCATTGCAAACTGGCAACTGAAAGACCCACAAGGCTTCTATTAAAAATTCCATTTATTCGAGGAAGAAAAGCCCCTTTGAACAAAAAGTAACTGGAGCATCATTTGAAGGTTCTCTCCTTACCAGCCTCTTCTCTATCAGGGACCTTAGAGGTCAGGCATTTATTCCTCATTCTCATGGCCTAGTCATTCATCATTTTCATAGATTTATAAAAATACTTCATTTGAGGGGCGCCTGGGTGGCTCAGTCGTTAAGCGTCTGCCTTCGGCTCAGGTCATGGTCCCAGGGTCCTGGGATCAAGCCCCGTATCGGGCTCCCTGCTCAGCAGGAAGCTTGCTTCTCCCTCTCCCACTCCCCTTGCTTGTGTTCCCTCTCTCGCTGTGTCTCTGTCAAATAAATAAATAAAATGTTTAAAAAAAAAAAAAGTACTTCATTTGAAAATGCTTTACTTTGCATGGTGTTTTTCTGCTGGTTTGATTTTGGCCTTTGGAAATAGCAGGAGAGGGGGCAGCAGGCTAGGCCACAGCTATCTAACTAACTCTCAGGTCTGTGGACTGAAGGGCCTCTCTTCATGCACCTTTAAGGCAGGGGTGAGGACAGAGGAAACCATGGACAAAGCTATGCTGGCCTAACACGCTACTTCCTGCCCCACATGAGAAGCAAACCAAATACATACAGCACAACATGGCTGACAGCAGAAAAGACACGGTGGGGGCTGAGAAGAGCCTGCAAGAGACTCTGGCTTGTGAGCCTGTGGCTAACACAGCTCGTTTAAGGCTGATCCCTGAAACTCCCCAAAGTTCTCTCCACTTTTCAAATTTGTGACACAGGCAGTTATTCGGACAAAGGACGTAGTACCCAGCCCCGCCACTGCTGACCGTCACGAGTTTCTGGCCCAGGACAAACACAGAATGCCACGATGCAAAGTCAATCCAGACAGCAGGGTTGAACAAATCAGCTTCTATACATGAGCGCAGCATTCAGCACCAGCTGACCACAGAGGAGGAGGGACCCCCCAGGAAGCAAGGCAGATAGTCTAAAGCATGTTGATCCCACAAAGTCTCTGAGTTCTGATGACTATTTCCTAAGAGACCACATAGGTGACCTAAAGAAATTATCACCATGCTGTCTGACAGGAAGAGCCGATGCGACTCTCAGGCAAAGAAATTCACTACAGGACGGTCACAGGATGAACACTAAATTCTCCTCTTTGTGTATAGGATTTAACAGAAGTCTCTCTAGATGTTGTCTAATTATTTTTTCTTTATGAGATATAGATACAGCAGTTACCTACATGGGGTGAAAGTTGAAGCAACATCACGCGTTAAGTCTAATTATGAACAGAGCTTGGGAGAATTTGTGGAATGGTCCTAGGTTATCTCTTCCTTCTATCAAGAGAATTCTACCGGCTTTGCTCTGTTTGACAGTCTTGTTCAGGCCCTCCTCTTTTGGAGAGAAATGTTGAGAATACTTTTCAGCAGAACCCTCACCTTCCTCCCTACCCCTGCCAACATTGCTTCTAGGACTGAAACCAGTACCCATAACAACATTCAACGGAATATGGGATTTTCCTCCCTATCCGTAGTTCCACTTCTATAAAACCTTCCCGCAAAAAGGCCAGATAGCAAGAGTAGAGACCGGCAAAGGGGGAAGAAGGCTTTCCCCAAACGGCAGCACCTCTTACCTCTGTAGTGCTCCATTCTCGTGTGGTGGGTGATACCCTGTGACCGGAAACTGAGGCTCAGGATGTAACGAGGATCAGAGCTATCTCGTACCAGGAAAGAGCCATCTGGCTTCCCTTTCAGCTTCATCTCTGCATCTTCCCAGTTCATGGGTCCCCAGTACCAACCACACTATCAAAGACAAGAAGTGGTCAAGTACTTCACAGCATGGCGGGAAGGTGCACGTTTTCAGCACAATCGATTTTACTGCAGGAGAATCCCCACCCTCCCATCACTTCCAAAACATTTCACTAGGTAAGAGCTGCTAAGAGTGTCTTAACCATTAGCAATGAACAGCAGGCTCATTCACTTTAGCCCTCCAGAGTAACAGAAGAATAAGCTTACAGTCCCATTACCAGGGCTCTACAAAGAAAAGGAGAGGGAACTGGGTCAGTTAATCTGTCAAACTCAGCTTCCACTAAGTAAACAGTTCTCCACAACCGTTCTTCACCACATTCAAATGTTTTTCTCCAAGATTCCATTTTACAACGTCCCTTATGGAATTGATCATAGCAGCATATTGCTTTGGCACTGTAAATATAGAGGCAAGAGAACTACTCTTCTTCTAAAAATAAGACAAGGAGAGCCCAGGACAGAAGAAGGAGAGTGGGAGAGGAGGCCAGCCGCCAGTCTCCGGGCACCGCCTACCTTCTCCAACTCTCGAAGGCTGGCGGCAAAGCTGCTTGAGTCGGGCCGGTAGAGCGGACACTGGAGATGCTGGGGGGGCTGGCTGTGCAGGGATTCAGCTGCTCGGATGGGAGCAATCCGGGGAAATGCATCTGCCGGGCAAGAGAGTGGTGGTCACTTGTTCACCCTCCCAGCTCCCAAGCACAAGCAGACCCTCCCCGCAAAACAGAGATGCTAACTGAAGAGGGGCAAGGCATTAGAAGCTAAGCTGGAAAGGGTGGACGCCAAAGCAGTGGAAAGGAGCTGGATGGGCTGTAACAAAAAGCTGTGTGGGCTCGTGTAAGCTGTGAAGGATGGGTGGGGGCGTTTGACCCCAAGAGAGGGCTAGGGGAGCTGCTCACTAACCTGACTAAGGTGACTACTTCATGGGCTTCACCAGCCTAGAGCGATTCCAGCTTCTCCCACCTCGAGGTGAAGCGCCGGTAAAGCAGCCTTGGAAATAGTGACTCGCTTACTTGCCCAGGAAGAGGAACGATTTTGCCAGGCAAGTGGAAAAGAATGCCGATTTCATTCATTTTACTCCTTGGGGACTGGAGGCTGGCAAAGCAGGTATGGGCTACTAAATGCTTGGTACTTATTTACAAGGCTGCAATAAATACTAAAAGCTTAGAAACACCAGAGAACTCTGAAAACTTTAAACCTCCTCACCATTTGGAAATTAAGGCAGTCTCCTAAGTGAGATCTACTCAGAGACCGCAAAGCAGGTTCGGCAGCAAAGAGGTGAGAAATTTAAGTCTTTTATCCCAACAAAAGTCAGATTCACCTCCACCGGGAAAATGGGTTAGAAAAACCAGTTCTTGGCCTCAATTCCAAGGAGTTCTGGCCCAGCCAAGGGGATAAGATTTAAGCTTTCTCATAAGTCCTATTATTTCCATAAATAGACGTCTCCCATCCTTCAAGAGTATATCACTTTGTACTCCCAACTTTTACAAGGCTTGCCTCTAAACTAAGCTAACCTGGGGCATGGGGTGGAGGAGGCGGAGGTAGGGGGAAAGACTGCAGGGAAGACCCCATCGGAGCCACAAGGACAGATGTAGGCAGCGTCCCACTGATATCATCTAGAAGAGAGAACAGAAGCAAGAGGTTCAGAAATATGAGCACAGATGAGTGAGGTGAAGCAGAGGAGAGGGAGAAGGATCATCAGGCTGCCCTCTGGAGCAAGATGGCCTGACCTTCACCCTGTCTTTTTGCATAGAGGCAACAATCATCTTAACCTGGTTTCCTTTGTTGAAAGCAGAAATGTAAGGATATTCCTAAAGCAGTCTACTAGCGGTAGATTCAGGGCAAGATAAATACAGGTCTAATCAACGTATGGACAGTAAATGTTACAGCATGCAGGTAAGAAACCCATTTAACTGCTTAGGGAGATGATAAGGGTGCTGAGAAAGGGACAGGGAATAATTGGGTCATTATTAGAAACCAGTCCTGGAAAAGAACAACAGGTTTCTAGAGCTCACCCCCTCCCACTAGGGCAAGAAGGCAGAGAAGGGCAGAGACTATACCTAGGAGGCTGAGGCTTCTCCTCGGAGGAGGAGGGGGAGTTGGAGGGTGTGGAGAGGTCAGGCCCCGCTGAGAGATGTCCACGTCCACAAGTGACACAGTTTCACCTGAGGGATTCACAGACCAAGCATGTTACAGAAGCACCTTGCCCGCAGCTGAAGTCGAAAGCAAAGGAAAGCAAAGGGCAAGCAAGGGAGGCTAGAGGTCTCCGGCTCTCAAAAATCTCAAAACCTAATGCTTCCCAGAGCTGGAATCACCCCCAAACACCTGGGAAGTCAATTTTAAATTCTATCATTTCTTGGTCCTGTTAAAGGTCAAGGATTCTTTAGGACAGAAACATGGGATTAACAGTGGAAAGGCCAATTAATTGTGGTTGTGCCACTGACTACGTAACCTTAACAAGGGCTCTTTATTCAAATGGAACTCACAGCATTTATGTTTACAGATGTGTGTACCAATTTCTGCCTTAGGGAGCAAGGCAAGCAGCTTGTTACAAGTCCAAATGGACATGGAAAGCAAGTGCCAGAAAAATGTAAGAACTGCATGGTAACCTGAATGCAGATAAAGGTCCCAAGGTGAGCCCCAGCTTCTTCCTAAATGGCTTTCTACATCTAGATTTTCCAGAATATTCACTCATAAGAGAACCAACCATTTCACATATCAACTGATTCTTAATAGCTAAGGCTACCAAGGCCAAAAAGTGCATTTATAATCCTAATAATGAACTACTTCCACAGTCAGCCAAATCAGGTAAGCTCCAGAGGAGCTTGATGGGGGATGTCACATGGTTTCTCCTATTTCCTGCCTATCATGCAGTTCTGTTCTCTGCATATACCCTCCTTCTTGCGATCCAAGCCCATCTACCCTCTCTCCTCTTCAGTCACCAGAGGGAAAAGGGTATTATATAACAAAGGCTGACTGACAAGTTTTGGTAGGTCTGACCCACAGGGGGAGGACTCTCAAGATTTCTCTAATTTGGCCCTTAGGGTGTTACTTCCAACAACTTTTTCTCATTCAGGAGGCTGAATTAGCTCCTCAGCTAGAATTTTATTATTTCCCAATTAAGAAAATGAGGTAACCAATATCTCTAGAAGGCCAAGAGTTGGGCTTTCAGAATCTAATACACAGTTTTTTATAAAGGTCTTGAGCACTAATTAAGATAAGCAGAAAAGCTCTGCCAGGGGGACCTGGCTGGCATAGTCAGTAGAGCATGTGACTCTCGATCTCACGGTCATGAGTCGAGCCCCACGTAGGGCGCAGAGTTTACTGAAAGAAAGAGGGGTGCCTGGGTGGCTCAGTCATTAAGCGTCTGTCTTCGGCTCAGGTCATGATCCCAGGGTCCTGGGATCGAGCCCCGCATCGGGTTCCCTGCTCTGCGGGAAGCCTGCTTCTCCCTCTCCCACTCCCTCTGCTTGTGTTCCCTCTCTCGCTGTGTCTCTCTCCGTCAAAATAAAATAAAAAATAAAATCTTAAAAAAAAAAAGAGAGAGAGAGACAAAGAAAAAAAAGAAAGCTCTACTAAAAGTCATCAGCGGAAGCTCTGGGAAGCTGGGCCCAGACTCATCACATAGCTTAGTAACTGAGAGCCTAGCAGCCCAGAGCAATGCAGTGAGCCCAGACAAGTGTGTTTCCTGAAGGGTCAGAGATCTGGACAATAGGTATTTCACTTATTTATTTTTTTTTTTTTTAAGATTTTATTTATTTACTTGAGAGAGAGCACAAGCGGGGGTAGGGGCAGAGGGAGAAGGAGAAGCAGACTCCCCGCTGCACAGGGAGCCTGATGTGGGGCTTGATCCCAGAACCCTGAGATCATGACATGAGCTGAAGGCAGATGCTTAACTGACTGAACCAGCCACGCGCCCCTAGGTATAGCACTCAAGTAAAACATGTAATTAAAAAAAAAAAAGATGTAATTCAAGAGAGCTAAGGCTGTCTGAAACAGGAACACCAAACCTGAAAGTACAAATGTGGGTGAGCGTTCCTTACTTTAAAGAGGAAACAATTATTAACGAGAAAGACATGCTGCTACAGGGCAGGATTCTTTAATTCTGGGCTTCGGGTAAGAACAGAGGCCTCCCTCTCCACCTGTGCCTATTACAGACACCAACTCACTTCTTCTGACACCTCATGGCGGTCTATGCAGTAACGGGGGTCCCACTAGCCTGCTGATCATCTTCTGGCCATGTCCATTCCTAAATCATAATTCTTCCTGTCATCTTTTCGAGGGATACAACCTCCAAAGGAGTTTGAAGTTAGGAATTTTTGGTTGGGCCACAAACAATGAGGAGTACTCGTTCCTGAGACTGGAGGCAGAGTGCTAAAGACCTTCTCTACCACTTACTTAAGCAGGAGCTCCATATATGACTGACAAACGAAAACGCTCCCTATCTGAACAAGATCCCCATTAAGGAGAAGGCAGTTGCCCAAAGGATATTCAAGCACTTTCCTACTTGAGCAACTGTGTTCCCTGCTGCAATAGGAAAGACTTAAATTAGACACAGTGAAGAACTCTAACAGCTGCAAGAACTCCTGGCCCCTAAAATGGGTAAGACAAGAGTTCACATAATCCCCTTTGCCCAAAGTCTTTAAAAATAGACCAGATAATCGTGGATCATGTTTATTAGATCATCCATGAACTCCCTTGGAAGTAGGGACAGGAATTGTATGACTTCTAGAGAGTCCTTTATGCACTCTGAGCCTATAAATTTGTAATTCCTACTTTTAATTTATACGTGATGGCCCTGAACGAAGCACTGAGCACCTGCCAGGGCTACCTAATTACCTGCAAGCAGTCTCTATCTCCAACTAATAAGCCTCCAAAGTCAAGAACACATTCCACACCATAAAAATAGCCTCAACCCAACCCCAGCGGGCATGGAATGAAGGAAGTGGCTGCAGGCCCACCAGAAGCTCGCTCTGCGGTGCATCTGCAAGTGTCCCCGGACAGGTCTCAGAACACTCCTGCTTTCGGAGGTCAGAAGAAAAAGAGAGCGATCACCCTTACCTGTGAACAGGGGGCTGAAGGAGACCGGAGAAAAGGCACTTTGAGTTCTTGTCAACCTGGGTTTCCTAGGGGGTGAGAGAGCACACAGAGAATATAAGGGAGGATGGGGGAATGAACACATACACATTTAAGCCATTACGACACTCAATTCTAGACGCACTGAAAAACCAAGCAAATCCTAGTCACTGTCAACAACACTTTTGTAATACAGCCTAAAATTTAAAGGGGGAGAATGAAATAATTCAGGCAATTTCTTAAATAGATTTGGCTACAAAGTTCAGCCTACAAAGCCATGAGAAATCCCTTTGGATCTCTCCACACCCAGCATAATGGAAGAGTAAAACACCTTGAGTGGTAATTAGCAAGTCCATTTCTAGAGGAAGGAAGTCAGATGCAAGGCTGATTTTCATAAGGGAGCCAAGAAAATGGCTCTTGACCTGAGCAGGTGTCCTATCGGAGCAAACACTTTCCCTATGGCCCTGCCCCAAGGTGCAGGAGGTCCCAAAGGGAACCAGGGAATAGATTTGGACTTGAGAATGGCATAAGAAGCACAGGCAATGTTCAACCACTAAGATCCCTGATTTCTACACAAATGCCCTGAGCCATGGTACAAAGCCATCAGCTAACAAGGGGGCCCCCTCAGGTTCAGGGCTCTGCCCGGCTCCCAAAGAAAATGGCCCTTCCCCTCTCTGAGTGGCCAGTCACATGGCTCTCCCCATGACTTCTTGATCCTGCTCCGGGGAGCCAGCTGGAAAACCTAGATCTCCTGTGAAAAGATACACCAAAGGTAACTTCACTTTGTACCAATTTCAACTGGCTTTTCAGTGAGAAATGAAAGAAATCCAAAAGACTCTGACAAAGACTTTCTGGCCAGAAATGTGCTAAGCTCAAAAACCTCACCTCAGGCTGACTGAATTGACTACAAGGGAAAGAACTTGCAGAAGTGATAAAAATATGCTCTATCTGCACTGTGGCAGAGCTTATATGACTGCATATCCTTGCCAAAATTAACAGAACCGGACACCTAAAAAAAAAAAAAGGTGAATTTTAGGCGGTCATAAATTATACCTCAACAAACCAGACTTAAAAAAGAAAAAGGAAAAAACCCACGAATTGAGTGGCTGACTCTAGGCCTTATACCTGGCTCACCTTCCAAAATTACTCTCACCCAAAGGACTAAATAAAACTTCAAAGGCACCAACAGAGAAGCTGCACAGAAAATCCAAAATGAAACCCTATTTAAATTATTTGACTTTGGAAGATCTTTACGCATTTGTTTTAACACAGACGTCTAAGCTTCTCGAGACTCCCTTCAAACAGAAATTCAAAACCATACTGGGAAGACCTTACTCAGAAACAGCCAAGACGCTGGATTCCTATCTCACACTCCCTCTGCAACTTCTTCGATGCTGAGACTTCTCATCTAATGATGGTGCTCCCTGTACCTGCCCCACCCAAGGCACACACAGGAGACAGGGCTGCATCAAAACACGACACGACCACCCAGACTCCTCTGTTTATAAAAGTTGACCCTGATCGTCTGCAGCTTAGTTCCAACACTCCAGGGGGCTGGAATGGAAAGTTAATTCTGCTGGACATGAACTTTAAGACTGAAGAGCTTCCAAGCTGATTTTTATTTGATAACTTGTGGGTCCAACATTAAACCCAGCAAGTAGAAACCTAAAGCACTGGCCTCTCAAAGGGTTCACACCTCAGCCATTTGGCCGTTTGCCTCTTTTCAAAGGAAGCTGCATTACTCTGCCATCTGCCCATGCTGGGGACGAGGCTCTTCAGTGCCAAGCGCTGAAGAACGGCAGTACCCAAATGCACACATCTTGCGGGGGCTCATCTTCTCCCCCACCCCCGGCATTCTGCAGAAGAAAATCATAGTTTCTAGGATCTAGAAAAAGAAATACATCAGAATCTGAACACAGGCAGAGCCATTTGAGAGCCCTGGGATGGCTTTTTCTGGCAAATAAGGGGGCCTCGGGGCTGGAAGCTTGAAGAGGTAGAAGGTCTAGGGGGCTGATAGGCTAATAATAAAAATAAGTGCTTCCTTCTCTCTTCAGGTAGACGCTGTCTAACTAAAAATCCAAAGCAGTTTCTGTCTCAAGGATCCTGAGAGCATTCTAATGGCAGTCATTCATGAAAAGACCGATCTAGACAACTATAAAAAACAAAGCAAGGGAACAATTAACATAAAATTGAGGATGGTGGTTACGTGGGGGAGGGAAGAGATGTAATCAGGAAGCAACACACAGGGGTCTTCAAAGATACTGATAACATTCTATTTGCTAAGCTTAGTGGTGGGTACCCAAGTATGCAATTCATTATTATTATAGTACATACACTTTATGTATCTCCTTTTGTAGACATGAAGCATTTAAAACGATAAAAGCCCATCCAAGCTGGATGTGCCGTTTTGGGAAAACAACATGAATGATTCAGCTCCAGTAACATTTTTAACTAACCCTTCCATACTACATTCCCATGTTATTTTATTCCTCCCCAGATCATCCTGACAAGCATTAGGGTGCAAAGTTAAGTCATTTTAACTCTGCCAGTGGGCCACTTGCATCTTAGCGGCAGAAAGACTTGCGAGGTAGGGTGGGGTAGGATCTGGTGGGCTATACCTCAAGTGGCAGAAAAGGACAGAGGCAGCAGAAGACCTGAGGCAAAGGTCTTCTTTGGGGCTAGCAGTCCTTTGTGTCAGCTACACCATTGCTTCTGCTACAGATGACAAACAGAATGCCTGTGTCCACTTCCACTCTGCAAATTACTAACTGGACGGCAACAGATCCGTGGGATAAAATGGGTTACAAACATTAGACTAGATGGGCCAACAACACATTGATAAAACCAATGGCCACTTTTCAAATTCCTTGAAACCTAAAACATAAACCATGAAATAACGATGTCCTCCCTCTCTCTTGTCCATAAACCCCATCTACTGATGTCCTAAGACTTAAACATGTCCTTTTCTACAGTAACTCCCAAACTCGGATGTCCAAATGCCAGGTTTGATGGCCACAATTTACCTCTGCGCCTGCCAGAGCACACAGTGCCAAGTCAGCCAGCCCGTGCCATTTCCAACACATCATAAGCCAGTGTCTGTTCATGTGCTGCAGGCACAAAAACCATGTGTTCATTTGTAGTTCCAATACACAGACATCTGTGCAGCAAGGTCAGATCCAAAACTCCACCATTTGCCAACTGAAGAACCTATGGAGGGAACTTCCGGGGAAAAGCCAAGAGGTGTGGTCCAACGTCTAAAACCTTGGAATGATTTTAGCAGGGAAAATGTTAAGGAGTGAAAGGCACAGGCTGGAATGGACAGAGATTTCTGAAGTTAGGTTGCTCATTCCAAAAGATAAGATGCCAACCACAACCACTTTGTGGCACGAGAGTTGAAAAGATCCATGGAGTATGGACCCAAAACCCAAACCCAAAGTCAGAACTTCCTCAGCACACACCACAAAATCATCTTGTTCTCAGCACGTCAGGCTATTTCTCAAACAGATTCCCTGAGACCTGAAGACCCGAGGAAACAGAAAAGGCTTTCTCATGTCTGCCGGGTCTGTCCACGACAGCAGGGCCCCAGACTAATGCCAAGGCAGCCTGCCTCTCTTTCCAGAATTCTATCTTTTTTCCAAACAAATAGGAAACCACTACAGAACTGTTCTCCATTTTCCCACCTCACAATTACGAAGACTGCCAGTAATAATCTCAACTGTTAACTCGGAAAAAACAAACCTTGAAAAATGAACAAGGTACCCATTTCCAACCATGTATGTATTATGTGATGATTTTATTTTATTTTATTTTATTTTATTTTTATTTTTTAAAGATTTTATTTATTTATCTGACAGAGAGAGACACAGGGAGAGAGGGAACACAAGCAGGGGGAGTGGGAGAGGGAGAAACAGGCTTCCCGCCGAGCAGGGAGCCCGACGCGGGGCTGGATCCCAGGACCCCGGGATCATGACCTGAGCAGAAGGCAGATGCTTAACCGACTGAGCCACCCAGGCGCCCCTGATGTGATGATTTTAAAAGGTTAGATCAAATGCTGTTTCTCAGCAAATACAAAGGAAGACAATCATTTCAACATATGTGGAAAAGACAAGGGAACTTCACTGGTTTTCCTGAAATAGCAATTCTATATCACACCGAGGCCCTCAGGCATCAAGCCCAGCTCTTTGAATTCCAACATATGTGTGTTACAAGGCCTAGCCCAGTTCTCCAGAACAGAAACCTGATTAGTCGACGGGCCCATTTCTTCCTTCACTTGAAAAGGGTTCTCTAAGCTAATTCACACGAGACTTAAGACTCAGTATATCCAGGCAGGTCCATTTAGGACTCTAAAGCATCTGAAAGGAACTAAAGGTTTGCTTCATGTTAAAATATGGAAACTATCAAGCCTTATAAAATGACGGCAGGAAGTACTTTCTAGTGATAGCTGTGGGAAGGGCAGATGTGGAAAAGGGCAAAGAGAACCATATCCAGAGGTTACTGAAAAGCCCCAAATTATACAGCAAAGATTGCAGAGACTCGTAATTAACTCCAACTAACAATAAGGGAGGTCATAATCCTTCTGGCAAAAGACTGTCATTTCTCACAGCCTCCAGGTCCTTACCAATCAAAACAAGAAAACAACCTAAAATTCCAAACTCATCCTTCTTCCCAACAGGGCGGACTTAGGAGGTGCAGATCCATAGAAATCACAACTACCCTAGCCAGACTTACCAAGTTTCTCACAGCTGCGAGGCTGCCAACAAGACTGGCACATAGTAAGCTGTGGAAAAGCTAACAAGCAAATCTAGCAGCACCAAATTCTAAGCATTAAAAAAAAATTACCAGTTCAATCTTATTCCTTCTCCTCCAAAAGCACAAAATATTCCATCTCAATTTCTCTTGTCTTCATTCAGTTCCTACAAGGACAGGAACAAGACAAGAATCACTCCCATTTTACAGATGGAAAAAAAAGAGGAAGCACGAAGAAGACAAAATTGGCCTACATTGCACAGATGCTGGAGTTGTAAGCAGAATCTAGATGTTCATGTTCTCTGTGCAACACACTGCCTCCTAATAGCAGTCAGCCAAACGTTCATACACAAATACCTAGCTCTTCTCCAATTCATCAGAAAAAGCCCTTGGACCAAAAAATGTAATTCTCCAGTGCCCTGAGCTAAGCTTCCTTGCAGAGCTACAGCCCAATTTGCTCTGCAGCAGAAATCTGTATTGTGCTTAGTGTGAGGGTTGGTAAAAGAGCAGCCAATGACCATTAAATTCTGCTTCCAAAGGCAAAAAACCGTATAATGTTATATGCCTTTTCCTCTTCCTAATCTATTAGACGTAGCAGCTAATTTCACGCCACACCTCATATTTGGCGTCTCTGGAATCTTAGACCAAGTCCTGGTCAATATGGAACAAAGGCAAGACAAACCACAAGAAAATTAGCAGTCTATCCTATGTCATTACCCACAGATTCAATCCTGCCCTCCCCCCATCTGATGAAAATTTCATCTATACTGGTAAGTGGAGCATCGAATGCAGAGCCTACAATAAAAATGCTGTTTAGGCAGCCACACATGTTTTAAGACCTGAGCTCCCAGCATAAGTTCACTGGGAAGCAAAGGCAGAAACATAGGTTTACCTGAGGCGGCAACACACATCAACCTACTGATTTCTTTAGGGAATTTGGGTTGGGTCTGATTCCCAAGATGATGCTCTGGCACAACTGTTCAGAAAGGGCAGCTAAGTCAAAATTTATTTAAGACACACTTTCCTCTTGGGGGCATGCAAACTCCCCTGAAAGGAGAGGTCCAAGGATGAGTGGTTCCCAGTCGAGGTCGTACTTCAGGGTCATGTGGGAAGCTTTGTAGAAATTCAAACTCTTGGGCCCTCAGACATACTGATCTTTTCCCAAAGCTCCCCACGTGATTCTGGTACACAGTAAAGTTCTCAAATCTACTGGTCTACCCGTTCTTCAGCCTTGGGTTGTGGTTGCCAGTGTGTCTCAAGAATCCACCATATGAGCTGCACCAAAACCAATTCCAATCTTTGTTCAGAATCCACTCGGCGGTGCAAACCACAATGGCAGTTACCACAAGGGAAGTCTCGCTTCTTGACACAAAAGTTGACAGCTTTTTAAACTAATATACAGACCTAACACTGAATGCCAGAGTGCTGTCCACCCTTCAGAAATGCAGAGAAAAAAAAAAAATCGACGTCCAAGTTTGGAATATTCATCAACTGGCCTAGAACTCACGGACCCATGTCTATACCTCACACTTAGAATACTCACATGGTCTTGAGAGCAAACTATTTTCTATTCTCCCAGACCGTGGTCAGCACACAGGCTTGAGATACCAAGTGTATCTAAGAAACCAACCAGGAAAGCATTAACATGTTGAATAGAGATACCCAAACAATTGCTGGCCTACAACTGCACGTGTATCACATCATCTGTAGGCATGAGTGTGAAAGGGGTGGGGTAAACAGAAAGAATAATAAGCAAAATGGTTACAACACCAACTTTTTTGCCCCAAAGACCAAACATTTCCAGCAACCTCCCTACCAGATATAATGGTAGACAGACACCTTGGAAAACTTTAAAAGCCAGGCCAGGGTGGGGGGAGGGAGGATGGTTTCAAATCATCTCCCAACTGGAGGGATGCTAACCAGCTGAGAAATGTCACCGGAGTGAACTTCCTAAGAGTGAAAACTGTTCCCCCAATTAGCTCTGACGGAACGGGCGATGTCACCACCTTTAGCCCTAAGTCTCTGTGCCTCCTTATGAAAAGCACATCCTAGAACTGTCAGAAGCATGTTCGCAGCAGAATAAAAGGGAAATGAAACAAGACAAGGAGGTTTTGTCAGTCAGCCCCCCGGCCAGTCTCACCTCCCCGCGTCCAGCTCCCGGCCCGCAGAGCCTCCCATGTCTGTCAGGCTCGCAGCAGAAGTAGCCAGCTCTCCAGAAGGCCTCTTGCCGGCCCCATCCCCACCGCCGGATCCGCCGTTGCAGCTCTTCGTGCGAAAGAGGCGACTGAGGCGGATTTTGAGGGAGCCCTTCCGAGAAGGGCCCGCCAGGGGCCGGAGGGGCCCGGGAGGAGGCGGGGGCGGGGGCGGGGGCTGCGGCTCCCCTCTACCCAAGCGCCCTGGGGGGACCAAGTCCTGCATCGGGAAGGGCACCGGGGGTAATTCAGGACCCGGGGGCTGCAGCAGAAGCCGGCCGCCCCCTCCTCCTCCGCGGCCCGGGCTGCTGAGCTCCTCTTCCGAGCAGCTGTTAGTCTCCAGGCTCTCGGCCTCCGACTCCAAGCCCTCCAGGACCAGCAGCGCGTCGCTCGTCTCCGTGGGGTCCTCCCCGGTCTGCGGGGCGGCAGCAGGCGGCTGGGGCTGCGGAGGGGGCGGCTGCGGGGGGCACGGGCACGGGCAGCAACCCCCACCGACCGTCTTGACCCCTGGCGCCGCCGGCTGCCCGAGCCCCAGAGCCGCCAACTGCGCCTCCAGTCCAGCCGCCGGGCCCCAGGTCCGCTCGAGCGCCAACCCCGGCGGCAGGGCCTTGGGGTCCAGGGCACAGCGGTGCCGGGGACACAGCAGTTCCGAGGGTCCCGGCTCCGGGGCCGCCTCCGCGTCCTCCTCCTCCGGCGGCCGACCCACGTTGCGGAACACCATCAGCTGCGGCGGCCGGGAGCCCCGCGGACCGGGCCGCGCGAGGAAGGGTGGCGGCGGG